CTACAACTCCTAGTCTCAAACTAACCCAATGAATAACATGTCTGAACCTTATCATATCATCATTCGGATAATAATGTACCATCCTCATCATTTTTATATACTTAAACATATTGATACAGTCATTGAGTCAATTCCTCTCATTGAGATTCTTCCTCTCCTTTGCTAGTCTTCCACCTTTGTAAGTATTATGTCTTTTTATCAAGGACTGGCCTCTCTTAACAACATGTCCAAAGTATGTGAGGTGAAGTTTCACCATCCTTGCCTCCAAGGAGCACTCTGCTTTCACTTTCTCCAGAAAACATTCATTTCTTTTTTTGACAGCCCATGGGATATTCAATACTCTTCTCCAACACCATAACTCAAAGGCATCAATTATTCTTCTGTCACCCTTAGTCATGGTCCAACTTGAAAAGACCAGGGCCTGGATCAGGCACACCTTAGTCTTCAATCTGATGTCATTTATCTTTATTTAGTACTGTGGAAACATCCTTGACAGAAGGTTTTCTCAAGGCAAAACATCTTTTGATGTCATTACTGTTAGTACCAAAGATGTTGATTGTGGGCATAAATAAGATTAAATCATTGACAACTTAAACTTTTTTACCATCTATAAGATGTTACCTATTGGCCCAGTGATGAGTATTTTTGTTTTTTTCATGTTGAGATGTAATTCACATTGAAGCCTGTAGTCTTCGATCTTCCGCAGTGAGGATTTCATGTCCTCTTCACTTTCATCAATCAATATTGGCATCATCTGAATAATGCAAGTTGTTGATTAGTCATTCTCTGATCCATACACCATATTCTTCATATAGTCTAACTTCTTGAAATAGTTTCTCAGAATACAGATTGAATAGGTATGAAAAAAGAATACCACTGACAGACCTTCCTTGATTTTAAACCATTTCAGGAAGTAGCATATGATCAAGAACCAATGATGATGTCTGAAAAAGTTCAAGCTGCATCAAAGGAATTGGCAAAAAATAAGGCCCCAGTAATTGATGAAATACCAATTGACATGTTTCAACAAATAGCAGCAGCTCTTCACATACTCACCACTCTATGAGAAGAAATTTAAAGACAGCTACCTGGAAACTTCAGTGGAAGAGATCCGTATTTGTGTCCTATTTCCTCTCCCCCCAAAAAAGGTGATCCATTAAGATGCAGAAATTATCAAACAATATCATCAATATCACATGCAAGTAAAATCTTGCTGAAGATTATTCAAAATGGCTAGAACATCAGCAGAGAACTGTCAGAAATTCAAGCTGAAATTTTAGAAGAGACCTTGGTACCAGGCATGTCACTGCTGGTGTCAGATGGATTTTGACTGAGCAGAGAATGCCCAAAGGATGTATGTTTGTGTTTTATTGACTGATTATGAAAAGACATTGGACTGTGTGGATCATAACAAATTATGTGTAGCATTGAAAAGAATGAGAATCCTAGAACACTTAATTGTGCTCATGAAAAACATATAAATAGACCAAGAAGCTATTTTCTGAAGAGGGAAAAGTAACATAGTGTGTTTTAAAAACAGCAAAAAGATATGCAAAAACATAAGCAAAAATGGGCAGTCATAAATATGGTTCATTGTAACTCTATATGTTGTACATTAGAGATGACCTATATTATAGACCTATATTATAGACCAGGACTTCATAAAGGTTTTCTTAATTAAAGAAAAAAAGCCTAATTGAGATGTATAACTTACTAAACACCTTACCTAAGCGTATATGCACAAGTAACAAACTGCAAAAAAATACTTGATAATAAATTCTTCACTTAATAATGACAGGAGGATACAACTCTGCCCCTGGCTTCTGCTTTTGTTATGATTTTTTGCCACACATAAGGTTTAGTCTACCCCATCCCCCTCAACTCTTTATTACCTTGTGGTGGTGTTGTCATGTGTCATCAAGTTGTCTGCGACTTAAAGAGACCCTATGTTCAACAGCCCTATACCCTGCTCTAGCCTGTGCCAATCTTACTGTCTCTGACACACCTCCCTCCATTATCCCAGTCACCAAGTCAATCCATCTCATCAAGGGTCTTCCTTTCTTTTTATTTTCAAACTATTTTTTTAAAATTTTTAAGCTTTATTTTTGTTTAAATAATTTTAATGAGCATTTACAGAGATTTTGGATTTCCATTCATTCATTGCTGCACTTCTC